AATAAGCAATCCTGAAAATATTTGGGGTGGCTTAACTTTTTTCCTAGGTGTGTATATATATATATGTATATATTAGTGCAAAGCTACACAATGGACTATCTGCATTCTGTCTAGTGCGGGAAATCGAAGCCTGGATTTTAGTGTTGTAAGTCCGTAAAATTACCGCTGACCCACCAGGGGACTCAAGTTATAGTTTTAAAAATGCTTGTTTTCTCAGAAAGTGATTTGATCTATGAAAACAAACTGAACAGTTCAACTTTCTGCGAAGTTCAGTTTTTGGGTTTCTATAAGGTCACGTATCACTAAAACATAAAGAAATGGCAATTAGTAGTTATTCTCAAATGAATTAAATATTTGAATATACACTGTCTAAATATGGGGAAAAAAAGGTTCAATTGAATTTATATTATTCCAAAAGAATAGAAGTATCGACCACATATACTGTAATTGGTTACTCAATAGGGCCGTACGTGTTTACTATACAGGCTATTACCAAAGGTTATGTAGTTCAAACCGACACTACATGTTTCGCGCTTCACTGTCTTTATCTTACTTAATATGTTTACTACAGAACCGCGCCATCTACATACATCCTGCCCCTTTAACCCTCGTCCCATGGCTTAGTGGGTAGGAAACTCGATTCACAATTTGTGTTTGCGGGATCGAAACCCATCGTCGAACATGCTTACCCCTTTTAGCGATGAGGGCGTTATATTGTGACGTTCAACCTCATTATTCTTCGGTAAAGAGTAGTCCAATAATTACCAGTGGATGGGGTTGACTTTCGCACCTCCCTCAAGTCTATCTCACCAAAACTAGGGACGGCTAGCGCAGATAGCTCTCGAGTAGCTTTGCGCGAAATTCAACAAACAGTCTTTCGACCCCCTTTTTTATTGCATTTTCATTATTTTCTTACACGTAATTATCTCCAGCGATATTTTTGAGGCTGAGACGTGGACCAACAGTGTATATATTTTATAATTTATGCAGTACCGGTTTTGAATGTTGGAAAAATAAGGATCGGTTTCTCAGAATATGTGAAATTAAAGTATTTTTGATATGTGTGATTTCTCGCCGCGTCACTCATCTCTTTGGAGCCTGTCCCAAATCTTTGTTAGTTTAATGTTTACATTGTGTTCATTTGTAATATGTTTTACCATCGTTACGGAGTTTGAGTATGATGTTGAGAAATCCTTCGCCGAGGTACACTTCTAAAGGTTAACAAAGTAACTTGTTCTGAGCTCAAACAAGAAATATCAGTACACAAAAAGCATACAAAACCAGTAGGATAGACGCCAGGTGCAAGCTGGAGTAGCTAGCCTAGTGCGTGCTCTGACTCATCAACCATGGAGGTAAGTGGGCCCAAGGGGGAGGAGCTAGCAAACCAGGAGGGTCAAGGTGATATCCTAGCCAGCAATCTTATCTTTTTTTTTCCCTCCTGCTTCGTTTGTAACAACTGTGGTTAGCTTTCTATGTGTTCACACGAAGCAGACGTATGTTCACTGTCTTTATACACAATTAAAACAGGACTTGAGCTTCACAATAAACCTTGGTCAAATAGAACAATTTCACCCCCAAATAGTGGTCGAAGTATTACTTTTGAGAAGGGTGTGACTACTGACAATTGTGAAACAAGCTTGCCCAGAATTTTAAAATGGAAACAACCGTATTAGATAACACAAATATTAAAATGAAACAATTTTTCCTGTCTAAAAATGAAGCTTATGGTTCTACAAGTTAAAAGAGAATCACTCGACAATTTTTTAATTATCGTCACATCAAATAAAATGGAAACGAATATCTCACTTTCAAATATCGATTTGTTTTCAAAGAAATCGGTGATCAATGCTCAATGACCCTATTATTGCTGGAAAGCTGAGATTACAGAATGTGTTACTATGTTCTTAAACTGGTTCGCCATATTTTTTTAACTTAACTGAGAAAACGGAGCTAGCAAACCAGGAGGGTCAAGGTGATATCCTAGCCAGCAATCTTATCTTTTTTTTTCCCTCCTGCTTCGTTTATTATTATTGCTGGAAAGCTGAGATTACAGAATGTGTTACTATGTTCTTAAATTGGTTCGCCATATTTTTTTAACTTAACTGAGAAAACGGACACACACACACACACATATATATATATATTACAGTTAATTTCAGCCATCTAATCAGTTGATGGATGAACCTTTCGATATTAGGCTGGATGGATAAAAATGCCATCTCTGGACCATCCAACCATTTCCAGTAAATGTGGAACACATTCAACATTTGTTGGCCCAAGTGTAAAATAATCTTAGTAAACATTTTCGGGACTGTTAAGATACAAATTCCATAACCTTCTGGACACAGACTTCGCAACCTTATTTTAAAATTAAACATTTTGCTAGTTGTGTCATCAAATGTTCTCACAAACTAAGTTTCTCGAAGTATAAAATGTTAAGTTGAAATCGTGTATATTTCCTGAGCTTTGTGAAACAGCTTAGCGATATGCCAGTGACATCATTAACTTGTAGCTTAAAATTCTAAACGCTTCAATGAAAGTGTAATATTTTAGCAGAAAATAGCAGACAACATTAAGCTCGAGTTTCATTTTATGTCTTGAAATTTAAAATCTAAACTGTATGAAATAATTTGAAGACATTCGTGCAAGGATGAGAAAGGTGTTGATCATTTGAGGCATTGTGGGATATGTTTAGAAATGTTCCCTTGCAATTTTTAAGTGTTAGGGGGGGGGGTATCAGATATATAGTTTAGTGTTAATTACTGGAAAATGGGGTAGTTTAATAAGTTGTCGAGTGTTTAATTAATCA